TCCTGCTGGAAGCCAGTTCTCTCAGATTTTGTTTGTTGGAGAGCATATTTATTTCACAGTCATTTTGAATGATTTTTCTCCACTAAGTATAGAATTCTGAGTTTCCAGCTTTTTATTTGTAGGCTAAAAATGTCATTTCACTGTCATCTGGTTTCCATTGTTTCTGTTGAAATGTCAGCTGTCAGCCGTATTGTACTCATTTTGAAAGTATTGTGTCTTTTAAAAGATTTTTGTGGTAGGATTTCAGCAATTATACTGTGATACGACACATTAAAACTTGTGGATACCTTTCTGTCTCTCCTTCTTTGGATTTGTAGGCCTTCGTGAATCTGTGGCTAGACATCTGTTATCACTTTTGGAAAATCTTTGGCCAGTATCTACAAATACTTCCTCTCTCACAGTTTTTCTCTCCTCTTTTCCCGTCATCTTGTTCCAGTTTCCTATTAAGATGATTCTATTAAGATGATTCTAGGCTGTGTTTCAGTGCTTGTAAACCTTGGTCCATTTCAGCTTTACCCTTGCACACTAGGGCAGACCTCTTCAGGGGTCTCAGCTGAAAGCCTGGTATGTTTACCAGGCCCTCAACTCCATTTTTCTTTTCTCTTTTTTTTTCGTCTCCTCAGCACTATGAGACTACTGAAATCTCTGTTTGGTTCTTTAGCCTCTTTCTGCTTGGCTACTCACAGCACAGGCATTGGCAACTAAATGTCTTGAGAAGAAAAGCAATGAAGAGTGTTCAGCTTATTATTTCATTGCTTTTCACATCTCTCCAGCATCTTGGCCCCTCATGTCCTGCGTACTTTGGTTGCTCTTTGATACCTTTAAAAAGTTGGTTTTTTTCCCCCTGATTTGTTCATTTGTATTTTATTCAGCTTTTATAGTTACTTTGGGGAGGAGGTTGGTTTGATACCTGCTACTGAATCTTAGCCAGACTTGGTACAAAGTTATCATCTTTAATCTTTTTCACTGTTTGTGTTTTTATCTGGTGAAGAGTAACTAGAAAGTTTAAATGAGACAACTTGACAAAAGTATTTGGTACAGTATGTGTTCACATGCTTCATTCCTTTCATGTAAATAAAAAGCAAATTTGAAAAAGTAGGGGGTAAATTTCCTACCTTACTTGCCTGATAGCCCATAGGCATAGGCTTGTTTACTGGTTTACTGAATAAATACCCTAAAATGTTGCTACATTTATATAGTGTAAATATAACTACCTTTTTTATAGTGTAAGACATACTTGAGGAACAGACCAAAATAGATGTTAAGACTATTGCATTTTTATTTTTTCCTTTTGCTTTCAGTTTTTGTTGATTGAGGTGTATTTTGAAATACATATCTTAGAGCCTATAAATGAATCTAAATATAAAACATCACAATATCTGTTGAGAACTTGAACTTTTTTTGCACTAAGGGGTCTGTTGCTATCTCAGAACTCATGTAAACAGTAATATGCTCCTTTTTAAAGCTGCATCTCAGTTTATTCATCTATAAAATGGCAATGATGGTACTACCTAGTTGAAAGAATTATTTAAAAGATTAAATACTGTGTTAGTCTGCTTGGGCTGCCATAACAAAATACCACTGACCGAGTGGCTTAAACAGTAGAAATGTATTTCTCACAGTTCTGGAGGCTAGGAAGTCCAAGATAAGGCTCCAGCCAGTTTGGTTTCTGGTGAGGGCTCTCTTCCAGGCTTGCAGACAGCTGCCTTCTCTCTATGAAGAAGGCCTTTCCTCAGTGGGTGCACATGTAGGGAGGGAGAGAGAAATCTCTCCCTTCTTCTTATAAGGCCACCAGTCCAATTAGATCAGGGCCCCATCCTCATGACCTCATTTAATGTTAATTACTTCCTTGGCCCCATCTCCAAATACAGTCACACTGGGGGTGACTGGGGGTACATAATTCAGCCCATAGCATACTGTAATACATAAAAGTGCTTAAAATAGTATCTGGCCCATGGTGATTGTTTAATAAATCGTGATTTTGTGCTAGAGATGATTTTAAACATCTTTTTCCCTTTTTTCTTTTCTAGGTGCTGACTTTGGGTTACTTTTGAAAACACCTAGGAATGGTGATTTCTACTTTTCAGGACCTCAGCACGAAGAAGCTAAGGAGAATCCTATGTAAATAAAGTGAAACCTCTTCTGCTCTCTTTTCACGTTTGGGGACTTCTTTCTTTCTCCATCCACAAGGAGTGTACGTGGTGCCATCATGAACGTGACAAGTTTGTTTTCCTTCACAAGTCCAGCTGTGAAGAGACTTCTTGGGTGGAAACAGGGTGATGAAGAAGAAAAATGGGCAGAGAAAGCTGTTGATGCTTTGGTGAAAAAACTGAAGAAAAAGAAAGGTGCCATGGAGGAACTGGAAAAGGCCTTGAGCTGTCCGGGGCAGCCCAGTAACTGTGTCACCATTCCCCGCTCCCTGGACGGCAGGCTGCAAGTTTCCCACCGGAAGGGGCTGCCTCACGTCATTTACTGCCGTGTGTGGCGCTGGCCTGACCTTCAGAGCCACCATGAACTAAAACCACTGGAATGCTGTGAGTTTCCTTTTGGTTCCAAGCAGAAGGAGGTGTGCATCAATCCCTACCACTATAAGCGAGTAGAAAGCCCTGGTAAGTGAGCCCTTTTATGGTGATGCGTTTAGCAGATTTGTATTGTTTCTCAAAATCATTCCTTTCCATGTTTTTAGTTGTAATTTTCAAATATTAGGGGAAAAGGTACATTTGTCCACCCTTGAATATGTCATACGTTCTAACAGCATAGTCTCTAGTTAATCTTATTTCTTAGGAGCAGGGCTGTGAAAACTGTTATCCCGGTACTAATACCTCTAACTTGTAATAAATTGTTTTCTTTCTAAATTTATTCTTTATGTTTCCCTTTGGCTCTGTGCATTTCTCTAGACAAATTTAGCTATGATTTTATTGTGAGGGAAGAAAACCAGGAAAGGAAAGAAGCATGGCGTTACTGTCTGCCTACTTGAGGGCAGTTGCCAGTGACTTGGCAACCTGATCCTTAAAAATAGCGATTTTTATCATCTTCAGTGGAACTTCACTATGGCATATTCCCTGTAGAGGATATGAAGGAATTATGTTCTGCTGTGGAATCATTTGATACTATTACTTTATAAGATATTCTTAGTTTTTACATATATGACCTTGGCCGGTGGGCAGGGGGAGAAGCACAGTAAAGGATATACTTCAAAATTTACTTGGTTTTACCCTCAAATTAGAGTCCACATTCTAGACAGTTGCATCAGTTGGAAAGTGATCAGGCAATCTCAAGACCCTAAATATCTCATTGTCAGATTGGAACCAATTTTGTTGATGGATTAGTTATTAATAGCTGTTGGTTACCAAGGGTTCCCAAATGAGGCTGTGCATTAGATTAACGTGGCTCCCCCCCAGAAATTCTGATTCTGGCCTAGCCTGGTAATCCGTGTTTTTAACAGGTACTCCAGGTGGGGCTGATGGGAGCTGTTGGATTGGTGTTTGGGAACTACTAAGCTAGATCCTGTAATAACATGGCTCTCAAATAAAAGACATTCTGGTTTCTTACAGAATATTTAAGAAGAGTTCAGGGACTAGGGAATAATATAATAAACATCTTTGTATCCACCACCCAGTTGCCTTCAGTAACTACTGTCCTGAATTTGATGGTTAAGTTTGAAGTTCATCATTCCCATGCATGCTTTTATACAGCAATTCTGTATGTGTTTGAATCCTTGACAGTATGTACTGTCAATTCTGTATATTTAAAGGTATTATATAATGATATTGGAATATCCTTCTACAATTTGCTATATTGATTCAACATCATTGATGTGTGATTTCTATATTACACACTTTAGGATTACCTTGTCAAGGCCTGTGAAAAATCCCCGAGATTTTATTGGAATTTCATTGATTTCATTTGGGGAAGGATTGACATAGTTCTCTTCTTGAGCGCAGTACTTTTCTAAATTTATTTAGGTATTTTAAGTTTCTTCCATAAAGTTCTTGCACATCTTTTCTTAGATTTATTTCTAGGTAACTGTTTGGGTTTTATTGTATCCTTTTAAAAGTTACATCTTGTTACAGTTGTTCATGGCTAGGACTATACTTGCTTTTTTCCAGCCATCTTGCAGAATTCTCCTTGTTCTAATCTAGACATTCTTTACTGCTTGTCACACCCACTGTGACGTAAATTTTAGTGTGTAATATGTACAAACAGGATTGCTTAGGTACTTGGTTTTTAGATCCCCATAGTAACTTTAAGAGGTACACAGGGAAGATTCTAATCCCACTTCACAAATGGTAAAACTGAGGTCCCTGTAAATTAAGTGACCTGTGTGTCAGACAGCCAAGGTTCAGTATTGAGAAGACACTGTGGATACATTTTCTCCCGCCACCCCTTCCTCCGCTCTGCTCCGTTTCATCTTACGCTGCAGCAGCTGGGGACCAGCGCACTACAGAGAGTGTTCTTTGAAGATGCGCGCTGTGGCCATGTGATCTTCCTGCTTCCCATTGCTCTTACACACAGCTCTGTGTTCTGGTCTTCACCCACCTCGCCAGCTCCTTTTCCCCCCTTCCATGCTTCCTGTGCTTGAGTCACATGGGGACACTCAGTGCATTCTTCCTCCGTACCTCGTTTCTCCTCCCTCTTTGCCTAGTTCACTCTTCTTTATCCTTCAGGCCTAAGCTTAATGGAGGCTGACTTTGCTGAGAAGCCTTTGTTGATACCCCTCCCCCCCACCCCCGCTGCAGGCCTGTCTGTGCTTCCCATAGCAATTTGAATTTCTTCCTGATGTTCTTCACACTTATATTTGCCACTGGTAGTCTTCCTTGCAGGACAGTAAATCAAGCTCCGTGATGGCAAGGACCATGTTTATCATGAACATCTCTACAGTTAGTAGTGAGCGTGGTTAAATACATTTTTGCTGTTAAATGAAAATACTTCTTTTAGTTTCTCTGTATGGTCTTTTTGTGTGTTTGTTTAGAGATGAGCTTTCAATTTGTTTATGTCCTCCAACCATCATCTTCCCTTTCGTGTCCATTTCATTGCCGTTACTATATGACATAGATGGAAAGGATTTTTTAAAAGTTAACGCTGAGGTGATTTTGTTGCTCTTAATAATTTACGTGTAAAAGGCTTGATAGGGAGGAGGGGGGAACCAGCTAAAACAGGGCATTCTGAGACTCCACAAGTATCATTCCATCCTCCCCTTTAGCCAGGAATCTGGTGAGCCGTGCACAGACCAGTTCTCAAAAACCGTGAGGCCAATATCTGTTGAATTTGAACATATCAGGATTTTCCTTATATTTTTTATATTGTGAAGTGAAAATATGGTGGGAATAAGAGTAACTGGACTTCTTCCAGAGACCACTGTGAAGCAGCCCCTGCACCTCATGGGGAGAAGCCCCTCTAAATCAAAGTGCAGTGGGGCCTCCGCCCCTCACAATCCCAGAGTTAAGTAGGCATTTTCCCTCTATAATGCAGCATGGAGCACACCTGGTTGTTGTTTCCATGAAACAGGAAAAAAGGGGTCTGGAAGTCTTAAGCTGCGGACACTGCAGCTCAACACTGAATTACTTTGAACTCTGTAACTATTTTACCTCAGATAAAGTATTTCATAGAGCAATTTAACAGTTTAAGCATAAGATAGTCAGGTCTCCCAAACTTGTTATTTTCTGCTAAGGCCCCTTTTGGGATCTCTAGAGAAAACTTCCACAGAAATTGGGAGGGAGTCTCTAGATTTAGAGCAGTGGTTTTCAAAGCGTGTGGTCCTCAGACTAGCAGCATCAGCATCACCTGGGAACTTGGTAGAAACGAATATTGTGAGATCCTTCCACAGACCTACTGAATCAAACTCTGGGGAGGGAGCCAGCAGTCTGTCTGGACAAACTCTCCAGGTGATTCTGATTCAGGCTAAAGTGCGAGAACCACTGGTTTAAGGTATCCAGGCAGGTCAAGTCCAGCTGACAAGATGAAGTCTCTTATTGAAAAGAGATGCTAATGAGTTACAGTTTGAAATCCTTCATCATTTTGAACTTAGCATCTTGTTAGGGGTATAAAACTGACTTGCTCTTTCCAGAATTTCCCTTCCTGTTGATATTCATTAAGATTAGCATTCTGATACAATGTGATAAAGGTGTCTTAAAGGGAGTGGAGGAGTGAGGGGAGAAAGGAATGCTTTGTTGTTTGGCCCAGTGGAAGTTTTATAATTGTTCTTCGGGGTATCTTTTACCTATCTCTGTTTCTTTGACCAAAAATAATTTTAATGGATTTAAGTAAACGTAGTTTTTCTTTAACCTGTGCCATTAATTTTGTTATAAATAAAAGAGTCTAAACATTGTGGTGGGGAAAAAACCGAAAGTTACAGAAACACTTTTCAACAACTTGTGCTCATCATAGGCAATGATGGGAGAGAGTGTGAGAGGGACGAACCTTCCTTTTGGTGAAAGGTAGTAAGTACCTTGGTCATTACTGACAAGTGCGTCTTTGGGAAAGTACAAAGTGGTAAGAATTTCTTTTTCTGCAAGTGTGTGGATAGTTACAGGGAAGAGGAAGTTTGTGCAGTTTCTGAAGACCGTGCCTCTGCTGATGATGTAACAGGTGACTGTTTACTTGGACTTTTGGGTAGCCTTTAGAGTCCAGGCTACTTATTAGTGGTTGGGTTAAATGGCGGTTTTCTTTTTCTTTACCCAAGCAAATGCTGACAGGGTAAAGTCAGTCATCTCAACGTGGTATGAGAAGGCTATTCAGTTGCTATCTGCCGCTGTTAAAATATCTTCACGGAGACTTCCTGTCATCTGACCTTTTTTTTTTTTACTGTTTTTCACATGGTTCCTGAGAATTATCTTCTGTACTTTGAACTTCATCCACTTGCAAGGCCATATTGATCCTGAGCTTGAAATTCTGAGATTTCAGTTTGATCTTTAAAGTAATACCCTGCTGTTCACTTCCTGGTGCTTCTTCATTTTCAGCAGCATGGCTCCCAGCTGTTTAAAATACACCTAAAATCCTCTTCACCTGTTGACCGAATGCAAGTTTTGCCCCATTGGCTGCCTCAGTCACCAGGTAATTCCTGGCTTGGTAAATTTTACCTTAAGAAAAAGGCCTGGGCTTCCCTGGTGGCGCAGTGGTTGAGGGTCCGCCTGCCGATGTAGGGGACGCGGGTTCGTGCCCCGGTCCGGGAAGATCCCACATGCCGCGGAGCGGCTGGGCCCGTGAGCCATGGCCGCTGAGCCTGCGCGTCCGGAGCCTGTGCTCCGCAACGGGAGAGGCCACGACAGTGAGAGGCCTGCGTACCGCAAAAAAAAAAAAGAAAAAATGGTGATTCCCTGAAAAATCAGCTAGTGCAGCCCGCGACTCAGTCACATTGAGTGCTTTCCCTCAACAACCATTGTGTTTTGGCATGTAGCAGAGGTGCTTTGTGAGTACTTTTATATTGTCACACAGAATATTAGACAGACATATACTCAAGGATCAAGATTTAATAAAATTAATATTTAAAAATTTAAATCAAAAAATTGTAATGTGTTTCTTCATGTTGTGAATGTGTTTTTACATGAGCCAAGGATGACAAAAACCTCTAATTAAAGTGCCTTTTTTTTTTTTTTAAGTCTTTGTATTA